TTACTGGTCTCTATCAATCATTTCATCTGTTATCACCATCTCCTTTATACGTTTTTATGATATAGTTTCAAATAATATTTCATTCAATATTTTAACAAGACAGTGAAACAGAAGTATGATGAAGTTTATTTGCCTTAAGTGCAAAACCCTGCAAATGTTCTGCAGTTTAAGTTGGAACACTGAATAAACTGATACAAGAAAATGAAACATTTTCTTAAGAATAAATGTAATTGCCCTTAATTTGAGCAAGTAAATAATATTATAATACTACTAGTGGAATGTGGATTCTTTCCTTTAAAGTAAGATAATCAGATATTATGCACTTTAAATAACATAACCAAGCTATTTTGTTCTTATTTTTAGCATAAATATTATTAAATTGGCAAATTGTCCTATTTAAAAAATATATTTTTGCTCTGAGAGGTTAAAGACGGGACAATTGTTAGTCTTTCCCCTCATAAATCTTGGCTTTATGGAAAAAGGGGAAGAAAGAAAACGGTTGTTGACAGAAACAAAATGCTTGGTTTGCCAGTAACTATGCGGCCTGTGGACGGTCTGAAGGCTACATGAGAGTAAACTATTTTTTTTTTTTTTCATGAACAAAAACCCTGTGTTTGAAAACTACTGCTGTACAATGAAATGAACACACTCTGACATGTGGGTGTGGAAGCTTTACACAGTGGGGATGCTTTTCGTCAGCAGGAATGAGGAAGCTGGACTGAGTTCATGTGAAATCTAGTGTTGCACCGATGCCATTTTTTTGCCTAGATACCGATACCCCATACCTGGCTGTGCAGTATTGACCGATACCGATACCATCAGTTTCAAATTGTTGTGTGTGAGTGTGTATATATGAAGAACTGCATCCTACTTGGATGTAAAATAATTGTCATCATGGCTTAGTCAAGCTGCTGCCTACCTTTTTGAAGCAGGAAAAAGACTAATACAAAGTGAATCCAGTAGAACTTTTTATTGCCTACCTGGAATGGGTGACAATAGTTGAATAAACTTTTTAAACTCTCAAAATGGTATCGGTGCCCTATTTGTCTGTATTTACCACCATTTTAGTGCCGGATCGGGGCCCCGCCAGATGCTGGTATTGGTGCAACACTAGTGAAAATGGAAACACTTCCTGCTAGATCCTGTTCAGTTGCTGACATTAAATCCCTTTAAAATGCTTAAAGTGTGTGGTCGCATCCTGACAGCTAAAGTAAAAGTAGAAAAAAATGCTGCAGACTTAATACAGAACTAAACAAGCCACCATTCAATCCTAACATGGTCTATTTTGTTATACACATAAAGACATCTTTACTAATATAAGATGATTAAGAATCTGTAGGTTTAGACTTTGTTCCACATCTCTGAGGCCCACCTTAACCACAGGCCTTTAGACTTCCTGGTTCTCAGTGCTGCATGTGAAACACATGGGCTGCTCTCTGCTCTCAGTGCAAGAAGTGGTTTTCCTGTCCAAGGTTACCTAGATCAGGTTGAGAGCGGCTTGTCGAGGTCTTCCGGTAAACCAGAAAAAGTTTCAAATAGGTCAACTAAGAAAATGCTTTCTACAAACTTAACAATAAATACTGAAAGATAAGGATTTAATAATAAAAGGATTTAACTGTGCATACTACTTGCTTAATCTTAGATTCAGCAGTAATTGCAAACGTGCATTTCCTTCCAGAGGATTCCAAAGTGTCACAGAGCTCTGATTAGGAATATTTTCCCATTGGTAAGATTACTATGTTAAAAATCCCACAATAATATCAAAACAAAGGTAAAAACAACCCTGCTTTGCTCTGTGGCTGCAGCTGCCTGTGTGAACAGTGGCTATCAAACCAGAAAGAAGAAGAAATGTGTGGTTTAGGAGCTGTGAAAGGGACCCTGTGAGGAAGTGTGGTTAGATAGTTGCTCAGGGTAATTTGATCTTTAGTTTTGTGTCAAACTTGCACTCTCTTGCTTATCTTTGATGCTTTGCTGTAACCATCAAACTACAACATGCAGTTTCTATTAGACAAGATCAATGCAATTAATCAAAATTAAATAAGTTTAAATGCTTTTTTTGTAAAGCATGGGAATCAATGAAAAAACTCTTGTTTTGTCTCATTGGAAAAAAAGAAAGAAAGTGACCTTTGGAAATGATGCAAAAAGAGATAAAACCTTTTCTCTGCACATACAGGGTGAGTCATTTTTGGCAAGGCTCATTTTTAGAAAGGTTATTTTGTGGCTTAGGTAAAATGACTTCACTCGGCTTCACTCTAATGTCAGTGGCAGGTGTCTGGTGTCCTGTTTGGAAATTTATACTTAAAACTAGGCTAAATACTTCAAAACTTAAGCTTACATTATGTGAGTAAGCATGTCATAAATTAGCAAATGCGTTTCAACATAAAACTATTGCTAAATGTGACTTTAGATGCTTAACTCTTTGCTTTTATTTTATGAAATAAAACATTTCCATGAGTTTTGACCAATCTAAGGGAGTTACAGCTCTATTTTAGAAGTTAAGTCACCCCAGTATGCAGAATCAGGGAGAAGTGACTAAACTATGACATAACTGTGAGTTTTAAATATAGCTTGCGACCAATCTGCTGGTCTAAAATAACAAAACCAGTAACCATGGATGGAAATAATAAGAGATGACACAGGCTTTAACACCAAGCACATTTAAGGGGATTTTAGATCCATGTAAAAAAAAAAAAAAGAGTAGGGTTGAGAAGAATATTGTAAAATTAGATTATGTTTTTATGAAAGAGGAAGGTGGTTAGCCTGGAAATAAGCAGTGTGAGTGCATGGAAAGAAATGTACAGGGAATAACTATTAAATGAATGAAGAAAATGATTTGGAAACAAGCCTAAAAAGCTATGAAAACAGTGGAAATCTGTCAATGTTTAGTTGGTGCTATGCCCAGATAAATATCAGCTAGCCTACAAAAGGTTTCTCTCTACAAAATACTGTGAAAAGTGGGTCAGTTGGTAAAAATGAAGCGATTTATATGAGATAAAAGGATTGCTGCTGCTAAGTATGCATATGGTCACTGTTCATTTCTGCATGTCTGAATGTTCCACTGAGTGCAGTTATAGCCATTGTCTGCATCTGGGGGAAAATGCATAATTTCACCATGAACCAGCTTGCACTTTGTAAGATTTCTGACAGGAGATAAAAGGATAATAAAAGTAGAAAACATTCATTCCAAAACAGGGAAAGACCTAAACTCTATGCACACTGACTGCAAAATACTCTACTGCTGGAGCATGCTAAAGGTTTGCCTAAAGGTATACTGGCTGATTTTTGCAAATTTTTTAAAAGAGCCGCCCTCTCCACAAAAAACAATGCACATGCAAAACTCTGTACCTGCTCCTGAGAGGGAACACCTATTTTAAATGTGTGCAAGATCATGCGCGAGCCCATTTCTCTTTTTTGACTTTCTCCAAATAGCATGCCAAACTTTACCTGTCGAGCAGAAACTTTGTAATAGAAGCATCAGTGGGAACCTGTGCTATCAGTGTACGCCATCATGTGAAAGAATCACCCAAAGAAACTGTAGCTCACCACAGATATAAGCCTGAAAGTTTGCATGTGGAGAAAAAGATAGCTAACTGGGGACGAGCTCGTAGGACGGCCTTACATAAACTTATCACTAGATTGATTGACAATTAGGAGGACCATTAATTTTGATGATCCAACCGGAAAAAGAGCATCCTCCAATATACCTTTAAGTTGCTTTTGGAAAAACAGTGAAATAGTGCGATAGTATTATCTGGTCAGATAAAACTAATCTAGTTCCATCAAAGTACCATTATAAGAATAGCTTTACATAAGGTTGTTAAAAAAAACCTAATGTTTAAGAGATTACATTTTTAGCTAATCTTTTATTTTCTGTATATTTTGATTACTTGGCTTGTTGCCAATATCTGGTGTAAATTTGTCCACACATGGCTCCAATGTGACATGGACGGCTCTAGACGGGTGGGCCAGCAGGGGCTAGTGCCCCTGAAGAACTGGGCCCTGTTACAGCCCCTGTACTGAAGATATACTGAACATATTTCTTATGATTATATGAGCTGGGACAGATGCTGTCCTTATTTCCCCCCTCTGTTTCATCTTTTTATCTTCACCTGTTTTATCTAAACAATGATTTAAAAAAGTGTTGCACTTTTAGCCTTAGTTGTATTGAGATAGGATCAAAGTTTTAGGCACTGGACTATAAACTCTGTTTATAGTTTTTTCAAATTATCAGATGTAATTACCATAACAATCTAATGAATACTATATATTACATGTACATCATTAATTTAGCACTTTTGGCACATCAGTATTATTATGTTACATCAACACATTAATTTTCTTGTGACGAGTTTGTATGTCATATTACATGATTTATAGACTTCATTGACTTCATACTGACAATGGAAAGTGATGCACCTATTTTTATTTATTATAAATTAAAGTAATCTACTTATGCTATGAAACAGCAAGTGTGTGTCCAAGTGATGAATTTATCTTTATTTTAAAAATCTTAAGCTCCCCTGAAAATGAGAACATCATCGTTTTTCGATTCTGTAGCGCGCATATTGTTCACATTGAGACCGGTCTAACTAGGGGGTACCTATATGGCGGCCGGTGGCTTCTCTTCAACCCCGTACTACCAACAGGCAATCAGCAATCCAGTGAATAAATAGAGAATAGCGGTTTTAGGGGTTTTATAGCAAAAAACTCAACTTTAAAAAGCCCAACATGCTGATTGCAATTTTGACAGACACCAATATCCTTTAATAGTTTTCAATATAGTTTTATTCAACTAGAAAATAACAATACCAACTAGATTTTTTTGTTTGTTTCATAATATTTAAACAAAAAAAAAAAAATACACTTGGCCCCATCCTGCAGGCAGCCTTCTTACTAATCTATGTAAATATGTCTAAAATGTGTCTAGCTGTTTAGAGGACAAAAAATGCAAACTCTAAATTTGTACAGAAATACTGCATGGATACCGCTGGTTCCCTCACCTGAGATGTACATGAGACCGCCATGAACTGTTCCAGCATGCCCATAGTGAGGTTCCACCATGTTGGTTACAAAGGTCCACTCATTTTTCTTTAAGTTGTAGCACTCCACTGTGTCTGAGTTTTAAAACAAATGAGCGAGAGAAAATGGTGAAAATGAACAACTGGACCTTCCTTGCAAGAAATGTTGACAGTTTTTGAATGTGGGCTTACCGATTTCCCCTGAGGCGTTTCTTCCTCCCACTGCAAACAGTTTCCCTTTCAGAGCGCTGAGGTGGAAAAATGTCCTTTTCTCATTGAGTGAGGCAATCTGAAGCCATTTGTCAAAGCGTGGATCATAGCGATAGGCGCTGTCTATGGCCGTCTTGCCCTTTGTGTCGTATGTGCTCTGACCTAAGAATTAAAAAAGAATCAGGGTAAACCTCCTAAATGTAGCTTGAAAGAGTTTTATCTCATTTGTTTAAAAGCTATGAAATTAATCAACATCTTTTTACCACAATGATCAGCTTAGCCTCAGTGCATTCTTCATGTATAGCACCGACAATACATTAAAATGTTCATAGTCTCGTTTTTTTTTTACATTTTCTTATTCATATGCCAAGAAACTCACTGCATCCTGCTTGATTAAATTTTTTTTTTGTTTTACATTTTAATCAGTAGGTTAAAAAAATAAAGCCCTTTCTATATTTACAATAACAATAGAGTCAGATGCAGCAGCTGCAGCCTGTGGTGCATTCAGAGAGAAGCGCAACTCTCCTGTTTTAGTCACACATACACAAAGCTTCCACTGATGCCCCCTGAATGAAAAGCAAGATGTAAATATAATATTTAGCATATTTTATTTTCTTTAAAACAGTTGCACTAAAATGGATCCCTCCTTGGATTATATTCATTCACAGCTTTAACAACAGCTGGTGCCTCTGCTAATGGTGTGTGGCTGATGCCTCTGCTAATTGTTTTTAAATTCAATTTAATAACATAATTGATTTATGTAATTTTGGTTCAGTTAAAATATTGCTAAATACTAAAAAGTATTTCAGAGAGTTTATCTTTCATTTATTGTGTTTTAATCACTTTTCTTGCCCATGTCAATAATCCTCTCTCCTTTTGGAAGATCAAGATATTACCAAATATGCAAATGAGCTTATAATATCATCTAGCGATTTCCAATAACTTTTAGGGCAGCTAATAGCAAAAACTGACAAGGTATGATACTTCTCATGTGCACGGAAAAACAGGTAAGTAGTTTACTGCAGCTAAGCCAGTTACTGTAGCACCTCCCAGGGAAGTGTTGAAATAATGAAGATAATTCAAAGATTCAGTGTGAAAAAAAACACAAAAATTATTTATTCTATGAAGGATAGGACTTGAACAGGGCTCTAAATACAGGCTGCACCTTGTTCAATGAAGCTAAAGCTGCCTAGGTGTTCAGATGTGGGCGCTAAGGTGATCAATGTGAGTAAATGTCCTTATTAATAGAAATACTTGTAATCTCAATACAACATATATTTGAAATAGATAAGTAGATTGATTGGTATAATGCGTGTCTGTGTTTGCTTTTATTAGGAACAGAAAGTTTCTTTCCTGATATTCTGATATGAGCCTCTGGTAGGATTAACTAGATCTTAGAGTTAGATCTTAGAGATGTACGGTAGATCAGTTTATTTGATTAATATCAGCTGATCTTCCACAAAGCACAGTTTTGCTTTACTGCGAGGAATTGCAGGACAGTTGGGCTCCATTTAACAGTTGCCATCTGGTTCTCTGGTATTGTCAGTAAAAGATATTTTGCATCCGGAGCTGGAATTTTATTTAGGCTTAAAAAAGACTATTTAAATGGTATCAGGACAGACACTGGATGTATATAACCTTATTTTATCGAGGTTAAATGTTTTTAGGTTTAAATTTCGGGCTTGTTGTGCAAGTAGAAGCAGCTCTCACCTCCAACAATAAAGAGGAAGCCTCCAAGAAGAGCCACCCCGTGTTGGTAACGAGGCACATCCATGGGCTTCAGAGGCCTCCAGTAGCCGGTGTTCTCATCATAAAGCCTTAGCTCCCGGCTCACCACCAGTTGTTGTCTCATCACGCCTCCGAGCGCCAGGATGTGAGTGGCGTCTGATCGAATCTGCGTCCTCTCGGTTTGCAGGGCTGGCTGCATGTAAGGCATCATCTGGTAGTTACTGGCCTCCAGCAGGAGGTTCACGCAGGCAGTATCAGAGCGCATCATGGAGTCACTTTCCTCCTCCTCATCTTGGGAGATCTGAATCAGCTCATTGGGGCTCATAAGTGGGAAACGAATGTGGCGCATCAAGGCGTAAACGGAGGAGTGACGTGAGGGAGGGTCGTGCTCCAGCCAACCTTTGGCAATGTGGTAGAGCTCCAGCTCGGAAAAACCGCTCAGCGAGTTGCTGGCCAGAGCATTGGCGATGCTGGTCTCTGAGAGCTGCTGGTAGCGACCAGAATCAACCAACGCTGTGAGGTTCTGGCTCACAAACTTACCTAGGGTTGATAATATGGAAAAGGTGCACTTTAGGGTAGGAGAATTTCACACATAAGTGGTGGCGTTCCAATGGTTGTCTTAACTCACCTATGTTCACCAGAACGTCTTCAAGAAGCAGGTCTGTAGCAATCTTTTCCACTTCCACACAGTTATCAATGGTAATCTATACCAAAAAAAAAACAACACAATCGCATTAACTCAGATATATCATACATGATGAACTGTAAATGCCTGTACTTATATAGTTATAT